TCACTTGAACCCGGGAGGCAGAGGTTGCAGTGAGCCGAGATCGTGCCACTGCACTCCAGCCTGGGCGACAGAGCGAGACTCTATCTCAAAAAAAAAAAAGAGGCTTCTTAACTTAGTAGTGAACCAAGGTCCCCGCAAGAAGCCCTGGGTGTGAGCTTACCTCTCCTGGTGCTCTGGAAGGTGTGGCTTCTGCCTGACCACAGCTCAAAGGGGAAAAGGGAACTAATGTTCTCAGGCCCACCTCCTTTGCAGGGTGGGTCCCTGGGTACTGCCTGCACTCTGGCTGTTTGTTCACTTGCCACCACAGCCTGGCAGGCTTCTCTTTGGGGCAGACTGATTCAGGTGCTCCACTTTGCTGGTTTCCTGGCTGGGAGCGGATGCTCTGCAGCTTCACAGTGAAGCTTGGCCGACAGTACGGAGAGCTCGAGGACCAAGAGGCTGGACAGTGCAAATGATGGATGAGGGTCCCGGCCTGAGCACAAGGACCATTTTGTGGTGGTTGTAGCCACCACAGAGAATAGTGTCCGTCCTACAGCACAGCCTCAGCTCCTCTCCCACTGCTGTGTCCCAGGCCTTTGAGGGGCTGCCATCCTCAGGACGTGAGAGCTTCTACACCTTTACCTGCTTGTGCTTAGAACAGCTCTACAGAGGTCAGGACACAGCTCAGGGTCACACTGCAAACCTTCAAGCCACAGTCCACCCAGGCCTGGTGCCTCCAGAGCCTTGGTTATCCTCTCTTCTTGCTGAAATCCCTGCTGGACTTCCTGGAAGTCCATCGCTCCTCTCAACAAGGAGTGAACTCGGGGTGTCAGGGTTCCTAGCGTTTGCCCATGGTCCCGTCACAGCCCCCGACCATCTCCCCACGGCAGCCCTTCATCAACCACACATGCTGCGACCCTCCACAGAGCACGGGCTTGCCAGCCCCTAGGAGAGATGCTGACCCTGGTTGAATGTGACCATGATTGGTGCCCAGAGGCACTGGCAGCAGAAACATCAAGCTGCCATCAGAGTAATGGGCTTGTTTCCCTGTGGGTACCAGCGGGCCGCCTGGCCAGTGGAGGTTGTCCCCTCCAATAGTGAGAAGTGGAGACCTCAGCCTCTGAACTCACAGGGTCCCCTGCCTGACTGGCCTCTTTGCAGCTGCGGCATGAAGCTGAACCTGGACTATCTGCTGGAGATGCTTTGGGAGTACTTGGCCCTGACCTGCATCTACACCAAGAAGAGAGGACGTGAGTTGCACTGCACGTAGCTGAGCAACAAGCTGAGCTTCATCCTCCCTAGAAGGCTGCCAGGCCAGTGTGTGGTGCCCAGAGACCCCGGCACTGGCTCTGGCCTGGCTTGTCTAGACACATCTCAGCTCTTTTCCCTTCTCAGCGCTGGGCACTGCTGGTTTTGAGGGTGCCCTGGTGGGGCAAGGCTACCTTGGGGTCCCCACTGGCTGTAGCAGTCAGTGCCCTCCTGACCTCCCCTCACAGTGACAGGCCCCACTGCAGGAGCATTAGGGACCTGAATCCACAGGAGCCATCCCCATGTCTGACTCCTGCCCATCCTCCTGGTACGCACGCACGCACACACACACACACACATGCCCTGGGGTTCCAACTGCTGAATTTGGAGCAGTTTGCATCAACCCTGACCTTGGCAGCAAGGAGTGAGCTGCAGCTTCCCTCACTAGACTCCAGCATCCCTTCGCACCCTGCCCGTTCAGTCCAGGTCCTGGTCTCTCTCGGTGCTGTCACGGCAGATGGGTGGCAGGCACTGTGAATCCTAGAGTTTTGATTTATTTTGAGTCACTGTGTTAAGGTCGGGTTCGTAGAAGATGGCACAGGGATCTACGCGGAGGGCATGCTGGATGTCAGGGGGAGGTTAGGCCAAGGCAAGGAGACCGAAAGGGCCTCTGTGGCCAGCTCTTCCCTCGTGCAGAATCACGAGGCAGCAATGTGGGCCCTGATACGTGACTGACTCTCCCCATCCCGCCCTGCAGAGAGGCCGGACTTCACAGATGCCATCATTCTCCGGAAAGGGGCCTCGGTGGAGCATGTGGTGAGTTGACAAGACCTGCTGTGACAAGGGGTGGGAGTTCTGCGTGCCCCTTGGGACTCTGTTCTGCCTGACGTGCCCTGGGCTGGGGGTGGGCTCTGCTGGTCTCACTCTCAGATGTCAATGCAGGCTCTGGCGTTGGACAACCTGGGGCTGCGTCTGCAGCACCCCTTCCTAGCCGTGTGCTGAGGCTCTGACCTCTCCTGTGAGCAGGTTGTGCTGCCTGCCCTCCCCCCACAGGTAGTCAGGAGGACACATTGAACGAGATCCAGCATGTAGGACACTCAGCATGCTGCCTGGCACTGCATAGATGCCAGTAACCCTGCTCCCATGCCATTCAGGCATCCGTCAAGGAGAGTGGGGAGTGGCGCCAGCTCAACACAGAGGTCAGGACAGCAGCTTCAAGGAGGCAACCTGAGCTGGCTTGTAGGACTAGGAGGTCTGGCAGTGAGGAGTTGGGGTGGGGAGCATCCCAGGTAGGGGAGCAGGTATGCACAGGCCCCAGGGGAGGTGCTCTGGGCTTAGGGAGCAAGAGACTGCCTTTCCCTGTCCAGGATTCTGTCACCTGAACATGACCCTGCAGGCACAGATGGTGGTCAAGCTTCGGGTCACATGGCCGTCCTGCTGGGCTGATGCTTTCCTGGTGTTGTTTTCCTCAAGCTCATTTCTTCTCCAGATCTGTATCCTGTAGGCAAGGGACACTGTAGACCCAGCTGTCCCTGCAGCCCCTTAGGACAGTGGTGGCTGGGCCTGCAATCTGGTCTTGTGCATTCATTCCTTCCACAAGCCCAGCCCCAGGTCTCCGAGTGCCACCCTGGAGGTATTAAACAAATGAGGCCAGGCAAAGTCCCATCTCTCTCAGGGCCTAGGCTTGAGGTCACAGCAGGAGGAGCCAAGGAGACTCACGATTACCCTCCTGAATCCCTTCAGTCGCTCACAAGTGGCAATGCTGGGCAAGCTGAGTAAAACAAAACCCATTTGCAGACCAGAATCAGCCACCTTTCCATCTGTGTCAAGGAAGTGCTCCTGCAGGCCTGGTGCTGGCCTCCGCCCTCGGGACTCTGGGCTGAGGCGTTGGGTCTCCCACCAGGGCCTGGAAGACCTGTGGGCATGTGGGAAGAGGAGTCACATTGCACAATTGCAGAGTCCCCTCCCCACCGCCCTCCACTGTGCCACCGTCAGCGTGACAACCAGAGGTCCACACTCTCGGGGCAATTGCTGGATGCCTCCTCCAGGGTCTCTTTCCAGTTTCATGTGACCTCTGGGACCCCTGGGACCTTCATCCCTACCAAGGGTATACGCTGCCCTGGGAGTTGGGGGTGATATGATGTGTGGGAAGCTTCAGGCCACAGGTGGGGCCAGGAGGAGTGAGAGACAGTGACCAAGCCGGGGAGACTCCAAGCTGTCACCTGTCCCATTCTGAAGGAGCATCTGTTCAGGCAAGGCAGGCAGAGGGCCACTAGCAGCCAGGCCCCTGACCTTCCCCTGGTGGCTGTGGGAACATTCCTAACTAGGCACCATAGCTGGCAGACCAGGAGTGGGAATGGCAGGGCCACCTGCAGCTGTGATTGGGTGGCTGTGTGCGAATTGAGCACGTGTCAGCCCTCTACACAAGGCCCGGACTATGGGCACCTGCCGCAGGAACTGTTGCCTCTTAGCCTGTGTCCTGAGCTTTGAATGTGTGGCCAAGCTTGGGATGGGGTTATGGGGAGCCTCACCTCTACCTGACTCTCTCTCCTGTCCTCCAGTGCCACCGCATCCACCGGTCACTCGCCAGCCAGTTCAAGTACGCCCTGGTGTGGGTGAGTTTCTGGGTGGAAGGCGAGCAGGGGGTTAGACCCAGGACAGCCCCTGGGTTAGGCATGGAGCAAGGCGTTCACACTCTCTGCGTGGTGTTCCTGTCCTTCCTGTGGGGATTGGCATGTCTGTGTGTCTGTCCTCCATAGAATGTACATGCCAACCCAGGGTAGACATGGGCCTTCCCCACCCTTTCTTTTTTCTGGTGTTTGCTTTTTTTCTTTTTTTTTTTTCTTGAGGCAGAGTCTGGCTCTGTCTCCCAGGCTGGAGTGCAGTGGCGCAATCTCAGCTCACTGCAACCTCCTTCTCCTGTGCTCAAGCGATCCTCCCACCTCAGCATCACAAGTAGCTGGGACTACAGGCACACACTACCATGCCTGGCTAATTTTTCATGAAGATGGGGTTTCGCTACCTGGCCCAGGCTGGTCTCGAACTCCTGAGCTCAAGTGATCCTCCCACCTTGGCCTCCAGAAGTGCTGGGATTACAGGCATTAGCCACTGTGCCTGGCCCTCCCCTACCTTTGAGATCAGGGATGGTCAGACCACTGCGGACATCCTGCTGCCTGAGGCCCCCACCTTACGCCATGGCATTCACCCCCCCAGGACACACACACCCGGGGATATCTTCTGTGGCCTTGGCCAGTCCAGGCTGAGGTGACCCTTCTGCCCCCATTCCTCACCCAGGGCACCAGCACCAAGTACAGTCCGCAGCGGGTGGGGCTGACCCACACCATGGAGCACGAGGACGTCATCCAGATTGTGAAGAAGTAACGGCGCCCACCAGGCCTCCCGCCCACCTGCCTCCTCTCCCTGGGGAGCTGGTCCCACTGGGACACACAAACACCCAAACAGAAAAATACAAATACATGTACCCCAGGAAGGGGTCCCTCAAGTCTCTGCTATTTACAGAAGTTTCTTCAGTAGGCAGATGAAGAGGGTGTCGGGGCAGAGGGGCTCGGCTGGAGGCATTTCCCATAAGACTGAGCCCTCGCATAGGGGTTTTGAGTTTGTAGTGCTGAGCCTGCATCTGTGCCGCCAGCCCCCTGCACTGAGGGAGCAAGTTGCCCACCTGCCCGCCAGCCGGGGCCTAAAGCAGATGGCATGCTCAGTGCCAGGCTGGTAGCTGGGCCTGCTGGGGTCCCCAGGGGCTGTGGCTGCTGTCACGGCACCTCACTCCCTCAGTTCGTGCCAGCTTCTCTGACACTAGGGGTGGGGGCCCTTCCAGGAGGAAGCCCCCTTGGGTCCCCCACACAGGGCTCTCCATGATGGGAACCAGAGGTTAATGGCTTCAGAGGCCCAGCTGACACCCTTCACAGCCTAAGGGCTGTCTTAAAGTGCCTCCCCCTGTATCCCCCTCCCAGGGCAGCCCCTGCCCAGCACAAAACCCCACGACCCTGGCTCTGCACGCCTGGGGCAGGGACTTCTGAGTTTAGGATCTGTATTTTCTAAGTCCCCAGTTCTCCTGACTCTCCTTTCTGAAATAAAGGATTGAAAACGGTTCCTGTTCAGACTGAGAACACTTTGTAAACTTGCTGAACAGTAGCCAGGTTGAGTCAGGTGGGCACAGGTCAGGCATTGGGGGTAGCAGTGGGCCTGGGGGTCGGAGAGGGTGGAGCCTGGGCCCCCAAGGCAGATGCAAGCCTTGGGTGGCAAGGAGAATGCAGGGTTCCTCACCCAGGCACAGGCAGGCTCTGCCCAGGGGGTTGGTGGTCAGGGGTGTCAGGCCCAGACTGGCCCCTCCGGAGGGGCCTGGCTCTCAAGGTGGGCAGCATCCCGGGAGTCCCTTGTGACCATCTGCGCTGGCAGGGAGGCTCTGCTGTGAGAACAAGGTGGTGGGTCTTTTCCTGTTGCCTCAGAAGTCAGGAGTAGAGGGGCTGACGGGCTCGATGAGTGCCTACTGTGTGCCAGGGACTGTGCCAGGCCCCCCACAGTATTCTGCTGTCCCTCGAAAGCTGGTGTAGGCTGCACAGTTTGTGAGTGCAAACCCTGGATTTAAGACCTCTGAGCAGCGGGGAAGGTTTCTTGGAGGAGGTGTGCCTATTGAGATGGATGCAGCAGGTTCTGTGAGGCCGCCAGGACGGGTAGAGTTCCTGGGGGCCTCGGGCCCCGCTGGAGCGTGAAGCAGGCCCATGCTCAGCTCTCCAGGCTGTTCGTGGCTCCCCTGTCAGCTGCTCATGCCTTTCCAGAGACAAAACAGGAATAATAGACATCATTAAATATGCATGGGGCCCCAGACAGTCGGCGTGGTGGGCTGGGCCTCCCTTCCCCATAACACTGAGCTGCTCTGCTGGGCCGACCGTGCCCCTGGGCCAGCCAGAGGACCCCCATGAGGCGGCATGCAGGCGGGGAGCAGGCCACGGGACCCAGGTAAGGAGACCTTAGCCTAGAGTCCTTGGGGTCTGCCACTGGCCACCCTGGCATCCCAGGCTGCAGGGGTGATAAGGGAAGGGGCAGCAGCAGAGCTGGAGCCTCGCCCCTAACTCACCTTGAGGCCCTTCTCTGCCTCACTGTGTTCATCTGTGAGGGGTGTGATGCCCACGCAGTCCTCTCCTGGCAATGGTGGGATACCAAGACAGGCAAGGGCTCCGTGGCTTACCTCGGCCCCTCTCCTGACTGCCCTGATGCCTGGCCATGAGGCCCTAGGTGAGGGTTTCTGCCTGGGTGGTGGCCACTCCCACTTCCACTTTACAGGTAGGGGGTCTGGGCCCAGGGTGAGGTAGGGAAGGCCTTGAGTCCATAGGGTGTCAGGGTGAGTCCAGGCCTTGGATTAGATCCAGGCCTGTTCTGTCCCCCAGGCTGGCTGGCAAAGCGTGGCAAATGAGGCCAGAGGCTGGGGGATCCTCATGCGGTAAGGGCTCAGGTGAGAGGCTCCAGCCACTGAGCCACATGTTCCCTACCATGGATGGGCTTGTTCCTGGGCTAGGTCTGTGTGTGCGTGGATCGGGGCAGGCACTGCGGCCCTGTTACGTCCTGGGCTTTCTGGGTCTGTGGTCAGGACGGTTGTATGTCTACATTTGTGTGGGAGAGAGCGAGCGAGGGATCGTGCAGCTGCGTATGCCCAGGTCAGTGTGAAGTGGTCGCTCACAGTGCCCTTAGGGCTGAGGAAGCTCCCTAAGACCCCCCAAAGGTCTCTGACCCCCACACCTGTGTAAGCTCCAGGCTTGGGCCTCACCCTGTTAGCCACCTTGTTCTCATCACTCACCCTCCCTGGTGATCACAGGCAGGGGTCTGCACCCTCACTCAGGCCCATGCCCAGGCAGCAGAGCTGCACTCATCTCCCGGCTGGCATCCCTGCAGCCTCCCGAGGGTAGTATTCCCTGCAGCTTTAGAAGACTCAGTTTCATAGGAGCCACAGTCATGAATATTCGTCTGTCCCTCCCACACCTGTGCATTCGCTCATTCTCCATCTTTCCTCCTCTCCAGCTTAGATTCCAGTTTCTCATTTCAGAACCCTCCTCTGGCAAGAAAGCTGAATCGAGACCCTCTCCTCCCCACTCTGTCCCTCTCCTAGACAGCCCACCTGACCTCCAGCTTCCATCTCGCCAGACCTGGGTCCAAGCAGCCTTTTTGACTCTCCACTGCACTGTCCCATAGCCATCCCAAGCCCACCGTGTCCTAAACCAAACATGGCATTCCCATACCCCTGGCTTCACCTCAGAGACAGTCCCCGCACCTCCCAGCTGTACCAAGCCAACCCCACGTCTACCTGGCTCCACCCTCATCCCAGCCCCATCTAGCCTCTCACCAGGGCCAGCCGGTTTCACCTCATCCTGAATGTGTCCACTGTACTCCATCACAGCATGGTCCCAGCTGTGTCATTGCCCCCTCTCCATTCTTTTCACATGGCGGCCCGAGCTGCTTTTTATACTACTTTCTAAGAAGCCGTGTGAGGCAGTGGTTGAGACTGTGGACACTCTGAAGCCAGACTGTCCAGGCTTAACTCCACCTTCAAGCTGTGTCACTCACATAACCTCTCTGGGCCCGTGTCCTTATCTATAAAGTGGGAAGAGTAATCATACCCACTTCAGGAGGCTGCAGTGAGAGTGGAGCTCTGTGTGGCCCGGCCGTTCTGAGCACAGGCCTTGCAGTCAGGGACACAGGCCCTACAGCTTCCTCACTGTGGGCTCTCAGCTGAGGGATCTAACCTCTCCAAGATTAAGCCCTTCATCTATGTGAGAATCTTTTTTTTTTTTTTTTTTTTTTTTTGAGACAGAGTCTCGCTGTGCCTCCCAGGCTGGAGTGCAGTGGCGTGATCTCGGCTCACTGCAAGCTCCGCCTCCCGGGTTCACGCCATTCTCCCGCCTCAGCCTCCCAAGTAGCTGAGACTACAGGCGCCTGCCACCACGCCCGGCTAGTTTTTTGTATTTTTAGTAGAGACGGGGTTTCACCATGTTAGCCAGGACAGTCTCGATCTCCTGACCTCGTGATCCACCCGCCTCGGCCTCCCAAAGTGCTGGGATTACAGGCTTGAGCCACCGCGCCCGGCCTCTATGTGAGAATCTAGTGAGATATTCCAGAAAATCATTTAGCACCAAGCCTGGCACATAGTAAACATCTGGAAATGTGGAACAGTGACCAAAGTCCCATCCCTTCCACGCCCATTGGGCTAGTCGCTGCCTGCCACCCTGGCCACCTCTCATTTCACATGCCCTCAATCACTCTGCTCCAGCCATAGGACTGTCCTTGCAGCCCCTCTTACCACCTGGCCTTTGCACATGTTGTTCCACCTACCAGGAATACAGTTCCCTCTTCCATGTTACAAACTCCCTCTTGTCCTTCAGATCTTGGCTCAGGGTTGCCTTGTCAGGAGACTCTTCCTGGACCTCCAGTGCAGTGTTGGGGCATCGGGGGTCATGCCCTGACCTTCACAGCTCTTTTTGTTGATGTGGCTCTTTGCTTAAAGTCTGCATCCAGGATGGGCGTGGTGGCTCATACCTGTGATCCCAACACTTTGGGAGGCTGAGGCAGGAGTATTGCCTGGGGGCAAGGAATTCAAGACCATCCTGGGCAACATAGTGGGACCCTGTCTCTACAAAAAACAACCAAAAAAAAAAATTAGCCAGGTGTGATAGCACACACCCGTAGTCTCAGCTGCTCAGGCAGCTGAGGTGGGAGGATTGCTTGAGCCTGGGAACTCAAGACTGCAGTGAGCTGTGATTATGTTACTGCACTCCAGCCTGAATGATAAAATGAGACCCTGTCTCAAAAGAAAAAAAAAAAAAAGTCTGTGTCCCCTACAACACAGGGAGCTCCATGAGCAGAGATCACATCTGGTTCCACTCGACTCTGCGAATTCCAAGTGCCCTGCACAGTGCTTGGCACGTAACAGATGCACAACTAATGCACAAGTAATATTGAAGAAATGAATGAACGAGAGACTTGCTCCCTGACACCCACTCTGTGCCTGCACAGAGGATGGGGACCCTGAGAGGAAGGCAGGACCTGGAACCTACCAGAGGAGGGGTAGCCTCAGCTGACTACTAGCCTGAGGTCTAGCCTGGGGCCCAGAGACCAGGAGGGGTCAGTTGGGCAGGACTTGCCGCCAGCAGTCACCCAGACTTCCTCACTCAGAGCAGACAGGCAGCAGCCTGTAGCAACAATGTTGACAATCATAACAACAGCTGCTTACCCAGGCCAGCCACTGTGCCCGGCTCTCCGCTATCTCATGTCATGCCCAGGTCAGCCCTGGTAGGGGAGGCATCTACACTCACAGATGAGGAGACTCCAATGCCGAGGCTGCATGACTTGCTATGGGTCAGATCCAGGAAGGGAATGAGACCTGACCCAGAGCTCTCAGCCACTGGGCTCCACGTCCCCGGGGCTAGAGCTGGGCTGGCCTCTCTGAGAGGCAGGTTCTTCATCTGGACAATGGGGCTTTGCAGTGGAAAGATGCCTGCCTGAAGGTTTGAGGCGGGACTTGGGCAAGCCCGCTAGACAATGGTGGCCTCTCAGCCTTTCTCCTGGACAGACAGACAAGTCTTCCCTACTTGGGGCAGACAGAAGGTATGGCTCTGGGAGGTGCCCTTGGGCCTGAAGGGCCAGTCCTGCCCTGCTTCTCCCCAGCAAGTCTCTGACCTCTCTCTGCCTCACTTTCAACAAATGTAACAAATATTACATGGAGCTGGGATAGGGGTAGGGTTGGACCTGTGACATCTCAGGTCCCTGAAATTCTTCCTGGGAGCCCCTCTAAAGTGGTGTTCCACTCACTGTCTCCAATCCCCCCTTTTTTTGCCATTTTCACATTTACACTTGTTTGGGGGGTTGGGGAGGGACAGGGTCTCGCACTGTCACCCAGGCTGGATTGCAGTGGTGCGATCTCAGCTCACTGCAACCTCCACATCCTGGGTTCAAGTGATTCTTCTACCTCAGCCACCACGCTGTGCACATCTGTAGCTGGGATTACAGGTCCACACCACCATGTCCGACTGATGTTTGTATTTTTAGTAGAGACAGGGTTTTGCCGTGTTGTCCAGGCTGGTCTTGAACTGCTAGCTTTGAGTGATCCACCTTCCTCGGCCTCCCGAAGTGCTGGACTACAGGTGTGAGTCAGCGCGCCCGGCCCACATTTACACTTTTAAATGTTACATTTTTATTTGGTTTTTCACTCAGAAATGCATTCACATGGATCAGAAATCAAACAATCAAACTAATACAGAAAGATTTACGGTGAGATAACCATTCTCATTAATTTCTTGAGTATCTTTTGCTATATTTCTTTTTTTTTTTTGAAACGGAGTCTCACTCTGTCACCCGGGCCGGAATGCAGTGGCACGATCTCAGCTCACTGCAACCTCCACCTCCTGGGTTCAAGAAATTCTCCTGCCTCAGCCTCCGGAGTAGCTAGGACTACAGGCACGCACTGCCACACCCAGCTAATTTTTTGTATTTTAGTAGAGACAGGGTTTCACCATGTTGCCCAGGCTGGTCTCTAACTCCTGAGCTCAGGTAATCAGCCCGCCTCGGCCTCCCAAAGTGCTAGGATTACAGGCGTGAGCCACCACACCTGGTGCTGTATTTTTGTTTATTTTGACACAGAGTCTTGCTCTGTGTCAGAGGCTGGAGTGCAGTGGCATGATCATGGCTCACTGCAGCCTCAAAATACTGGCTCAAGCGATCCTCCCACTTCAGCCTTCTGAGTAGCTGGACCTACAGGTGCCTGCCACCACTCCCTGCTAATT